AAAGGCGTTGAGCTCCCACATGGCTGACCACGGTTCAAATCTTGGAACTGGTGGCTTGCTTTTTCACTTCCTCTCTCTCTCTCTCTCTCTCTCTCTGATCAAACTGGAAAATGATAATAAATGAGTTAAATAAAATACTTCTTTTAAAAAAAGTTTTATGTGTATGATCTTGGTTAATCCCCAACTTTGAGGCAGACACTGTTCCTTTATCTCCCTGACAAGGCACCAAGGCAGAGAGGTTGGCAGCGTAGAGGTAGTAGAGCAGTTATTTTAATCCAGGCAGCTAGACAGAAGAACTCTTACCTACTTCACTTCCCTGTATTGCTACACAGAGATGAGCCTTGTTTATTAAGTATTTCACACTGTGAGTTGGGTCATTAGCCTTTTTGTTTTTTTCTTAATTCGAATAGAATGAATGACTAAGATCAATCTATGATACACGGTGAGGATAAATGTTTTGAGGAACTCGTGTGTGTGTTTCATAGGTATGAGTTCTTGTGTGCACTGGTTCCAGATATAAAGTCTTTCTTTCTTTCCTTTTTTTAAGAATCATTTTTATGGAACTTTATTTATTTATTTTAATTTGACCAGAGAGGGACAGAGTGAGAGAGAAAGAGAGAGAAAAAAAGTGAGAAAGCAAGCTGCCAGGTCTGGGACTCAAACCATCATTGGCCTTATAGGAGTCCAGCACCCTTAACCACCACGCCACCTGCTGGCCCCAGGATGTAAAGTATTTCTTATTGTGAGTAGTAATCAAGAGTTTGAAGGCCTTTGTCTAGGGAACCATGCTTAGAATACAGAGTGGCGAGGATAGCAGTATGAAATATTGGTGAAATATTGGTGTTCTAGACCTTGGACCAACCTGGGTAGAGAGGACAGTAAGGATGGTTGTGAACTATCAGGTATGAGCCTGAAATATTGGTATTCTAGGTATTGGACCAACCTAGGTGGGAGAGAAAAGGAAGGTACTGGTGGAAGATCGGAGTAGGAGAGGACTCAAATCTTTAAGGCTGTAGGAAAGAGAATAACAGAGAAAATACCACACAATCCCTAACTTTTATTTCTTTAGAGAGCATATAATCACTGTGGACTGCTTTTTTTTTTTTTTTTTTTTTTATGGGTGTTTATAACC